TAGTACGTACCCCTATTGTTCAAGTTCAAGTAAACCTAAGCCAATCAGGCTTTGTAGAGAAGACTGCGAAGTGCTGGAAAGTACTGTATGTGAATCAGATTTTAGGGTCGCAAGAGAGTTTGACTATTTGGCTGTTATTTTGCCGAACTGCACGTCTTTACCACCCAAGGGATCTGCAGAGGCAAAAGGATGTGTCAAGCTTGGTATTTCTGAATTAGGTATGTATAAGCTACTATGTACATTAGGAAAGAAATTTTCCATTTTCTGGAAAGTTTTGTAATAACAAACTCCTTAAAAAGTTTTTAAATACTTGTATGATGTACAAGTCATGCAGTCAAACTTTGAGATTAAATTGTACATACAATTTATTATCATTTAATTTTTCATTCTGACAAAGAGGTGCACAACAACAGCTTGAAAATTTAGGAAAGAGAAAATATCTTTCTTTTTTTTTTGATGCTGAATGTCTTTTTTCTCTTGTGTTGTAAACATCTGCATTAATTAGTCATTTTGGTTACGGATTTCTTTCAGAATCAAGTACACAAGAGCAAACGAAATCACTGGATGCTAACAGCTCCAAAGACCTGAAGAAATTACTCACCCATAGCGATGATGAATCTGGACCAACTACAACTGCTAAACCTGTAACAAACTATTCTTTACAAAACACTTCAAAAGAACTTTCAGTGACAAGGCCACCAAGTGCTGTAAATACAGTCAGGTCTTCATCACTGACACCAATGACGCAGAATGAAGCCGTGCAAAATCAAAGTTTTCTGCAAGCTTCTTTAGGAGAGATAAGCCCTTCAGAACAGCAGCAAATTCAGCTATCATCTGTTATTGGAGACATTACTCCTCAAAACACATCTCTAACACCTCCTCAGGATGGACAAAGTAATGTTACAGAAAAAGTGAGTGACATTTTATTTTCAAGAATGTTTTTATTTTATTGTGGTACCTAGCTATAAGTGCACAAGTGCTGTAACATAATAATTATTATGATTTAGGATAATGCAAATTTGGTCCTGTTTAATTTTATTAATTATAGCCCCAAACTTTCTGAAACACAAAAATTAATTTCTTCTTATAAAAATGCCCTAGTAAAATAGATTAGCTTCTAAAGAGAGGAATGAGTAACAAAAAAGACAAAAAAAATGTTCATGTACATGTAATGTACATGTTCATCAAAGTTTGTAAGCTCAGGTGATCCGTACACGTCTACTCTACATTTACATGTAGCTCAGTACCGTAAATTATATTCTTGTGCTGTACAGTTTCTATAATATTGTAGTGGGGCATTTTGATATACATGTATTAATTAAAATTCTAACGTGGCTCCTAGGCTGNCTGTTACCGACTCAGATGGTGAATCAGATTCCACAACAGCGACAGTTACTGTCAATGATGGTAAGGACCAATCTCTGATTCCTGCATGTACGGTAACTTCTCTTTAGCTCTTTTATGACAAATACAAGCGGGTGTACTTTGAGAAAGAAGGATCTGGTCATCTCAGGAGAAAGTGAACACTAAAAAGGAATTTATCCAAATAGGAAGACGTATTTAACATGACTGTGAATAGTTAGAAATTATTTTGATAATTGGAAAATGTGTTAATTTATAATTATTTTGATGTCATGCTTGGAATTTACCTGCAAAGGCCTGCCAGACATCCACATTGAACAAATGTCGCTTTTCATATTTCTTCTTATCAGAGAAAGATTACCCACCTGTTGCACGTGCAGGGAATGATGTTGTGATTGTACTCCCTGTGGATCATGTGACACTTTATGGAAATGGAAGTACTGATGACAAGGTAGACTGATTGAAATGATTTGTTGCAATGCAGTTTTTATGTTTCAATCTACAAATTCAAATACATGTGCATGTACATGCAGTGAGCTATGAGCAATGATAAAGTATGTACATTGTCAAGTCTGTGTTTGAGCCTGGTGGCCCATCAGGCACATCAGTCCAGCACATGAACCATCAGGCCACAGTGGCCCTTAACCTCCTACACAGACGCTCGTTGGGCACGTCATGCAGGCTACTGTGCCTCTTACATGCCTTACGGCCATCCTGTTAAAACCGCCAACTTGTTATTACAGTCAGTTTATTCTGGTCCAAAACCTCAGTCAGTCATTTTCGTATTTAATTTATACTTTTAATACATGAACAGTATGTCCAGGGGCTGAGCAGCTTTTTGTGACCCGTTGGTGACCGGATTAACAGCGTTCCACTGTACATGAGTACTGGTATACTGATGTACACAGTACACTGTATAATCCCACTGTTGTTTGATCTGGACCATTTGTGCTGTTTTTTTGTAGGGGATTGTCAGCTATGAGTGGAGCAAGACCCCCTCTAGTCCAGCAGTAGGGGACATGCAGGTATGCACAGTACCATCAAGTTGAAGTATACATCATAATCCGAATGGGTTTAGAAAAATAGTCCATTCAAAGAAAATGCTAATGCTGATTGGTTTAAAATTATGTTTAATCTAATAATAATTTGATAGAAACAGTGAACTCGTACGTGAGCTGTTGACATAATGATGGCATGAGGAAAGACAATTTACATTTTGATGATCAAAGTAAACAAGTTGTTTTCATTTTTTGTCACGGAATTTTCTAAAAGAAATAGAAAACCTCTTCTCTGTGTTTCTATCGAGTTATAAAAACATGAGTGGAAGTTTGGGAGAACTCAAGAAAGCTGTGGAAATCCTTGCCTTTCAGCCCGTACTCCCACAACATTTCTCACTCTCCCAAACTTCCACTCCTGTTTCAATACATGTAACTCGGTAGAAACACGGTACACGTTTCCTATCTTAATTACTGTATTGTGTAAATTAGGTTAAAGCCTTGCATGCCTACGTGGACAGTGTGATTACATGAACAGATGATGATGGTTACATGAATTCTGTTTGTTTAGGGTACAAGTTCGCCAACTCTTAAGGTGTCCAACATGGTGGTGGGTGACTACACGTTTGTTTTAAAAGTGACAGATACAGGGGGACAGACAGCCAGTTCCAGTGTGACAGTGGTAGTTCAACCTGAGAAGAATGCACCACCCGTGGCAGTGGCTGGCTCAGATAAGGTAAGGAAGGATGTCCTATGGTCTTTATGGATTTGTTTAATTCAGGATTTTAAAAACGTAGCCAGCAACAACTGGCAAAAATCACTATCTACAGCAATGCACTTCATGACTGGGACTGGGTACTCTTCTGGGTTATTCACCAGATTCTTTAAAAAGATAGCGCAATCAGTTGCCTTCTCTAACAATGGCCAATCCCTCTTTGCGACGTACCTGCTGGGAATCATGGTAGTTGTATTCATCAACTTAGACTGGATATTTGTTTTGTAGCATGATTCCCAGTAGGTGGGTCTAATTGAAGGAATTGCCCATTAAGCCATCTGCTTCAAATATTTTGGTACGACCAGTTTTATTTGTAATATACTTGGAAAAGGAAGAAGATGCTTTACGTTCAAATTCCTCCATGTTTGATTAGGACCTGGTATTTCCTGATGACTCTACAGTCCTTGATGCTTCGGCAAGTCGTGATGATCAGAAGATTGTGAGTTACCACTGGGAGCAGTCAAGGTGACTATAACTGTATAGAGAGCATGTCTGATGCTTGACGTAACTGCAGTCTGCTTACTGAGCACTTACTACAGATACATCTACAGCTGTATATCTTCCTGAGAATGTTGTTTAGATGTTTCAAATCATGCATGTAACTACCAGGATTTCAAAGAAGTTGGGTTTAATTGCTTACAGGCATTATAATCCATGGTTTTGTTTTTATTACGCACTGTTAGCACAGCTCACTGTATCATTGTCTACATTCTACTTGTGTCGTTAATGCAAAGGAACAATTACAACTTTGAAATGTCATAAAGTAGACAAAATCTAAACAAATCCTCTAGAACACAGTACATGTACATCATGTCATTACAACATCACACAGATGCAATGATACTGGTCGAACAAGTTGATGTGATCTGTTGAAAATGTAGTACATAGAAACTCCCAGAAGTAATACAGATTTAGAAGTCTTTGTACTAAATTTTAGTTCTCTATTCGTCTAGCGGTCCACGCCAAGCTGAGATGTCAGGAGTCAACGAGAAAATTGTGACAGTAAAGAAACTCCTGGAGGGTCACTATGTGTTTAAACTGACAGTTACTGATGACAAAGGACTCACAGGAAGTGATACAGTGGCTGTTAATGTTAAAAAAGGTGAAGTTCAAAATAAAGCATCGGTAATTAATCTACTGTAATGGTCTAAGGGATGGCAGTCCTGACTAGGACTCAGTGATTGATAAGCACTGAATGACTTGCCCCAAGGGAAAGATTGAGTTTTGTTTCCCCGAGTCATTGAGTGTCGAAGAGAAACAAAACTCACTGTTTCCCGTATACCTCCCAACTAAAAAATAGAACAAACTGCTAAAAAATTATTCGTTTCATACTGGCTAGTACACAATTTTTCAGCGGTATCAAGGTACAGGGCCTGATCACGTGCGAGTCGAAAGTGCAAGTTGTTGTTTCCCTAGGGAGTTAGTGAAT